GTGGAGTGAGGTCCTCTACTTATGGGTGGTAGTCCCGTTAATCTCGCGACGGTTACACCCGGTGATCTCGAGACCGACGGTTACACCCGGTAATCTCGGGACCGACGGTTACACCCGATAATCACGCCGCTGACAGTTGCTCACATCGGACCCGCCGAGCTTCCCGGTAGATCGGACCTTGACCAGGTCGCACCTCGGCCCTCATACTTAGCACCTGTCAACGCTAGTGGTGGTAATCTCGGCGGTTCGAGCTGGGCATGACTCATGAGTCATGTGGGAACACCAATAGCTGTCCTCCACGTGTCCAGGGTATTCTCTCCCCCAAACAAATATAATGTTGATTATTTAATTTAATTTATTGAACTTTGGAAGCCGAATTGTATAATTGGGTCCTATTTAGATTTTTTTTTAGCAGGACATATCTAGACTCAATTAGATAGAAAATGACAAATTAAGTTTTCAATTACTTATATAGACCTAAACTCATTTGAGCTAATAAAATAAGTAAGTAAATTGAAAATGAGTTTTGCCAAAAGAAGGAAGATATTATTGTTAAAAGAAAAAGTTGTCGCCAACCTGTCAACTTGTTAAGGCATATTTTGAAGCAATTTTTGGAAAGTTGGTCAAATCGAAAGTTGGAGTTAATCGAATCGTGTACTCCGAATGGTTTGATCGTTGAGTGATCAAGGAGAGGTTGGGTCTAGTTAGAGGAAGACATGTCTCGATGGGTTGTGGATAGGGGAAAGACGAAATCTTGTTGTTTGGAAGGTTGAAGGAGTTGATAGTCTACACGAGATCTTTGCTTGAAAGTTGAGGTGAAGACGACTTGCAAAAAGAGAAGGTGAGTAGATGCTACATAGCTTAAGTCAGTATATGAGCGAAGAGAGGAGTAAAGAGTGACTTGAGAGGAAATGACGTACGTCATAGGCCATATCTATTTATAGGAGAGGTAGTAGTGTGAACGCATGATGGCAACATACTTGTAACCCGCGCTATGACGTGACCTGCTAAGGCCGATCTATAGGTAAGCTATGGGCTGCCCAATACAAAGGCGGTTGATGATGGACAGGCTTGGTCGTGCAAGGACCGTGCCCTGTTTGGCCATGCATGGTCGT